GATAGATCATTTACAATTTTTAAGCTTATATGTAACAGATGATAGATCTTAACCATTAATCTTGGAGGAGCCAAATAATATATTATTAATAAATAATAAATAAATATAAAATGAAGTAAAAAGATGAAAGGGTGAAAGGATAAAATTGTAAATATATACTTAAATATATTAAATGATCATTAAGTTTGAGGAGACAAAATCATAAATTATATAAGAGTTACAAAACTCGAAGAGGGCTGAGAGGATAAAATTGTAAATATACAAGTAAATATATTAAATGTTCATTAAGTTTGGAGGGAGCCAAAATCATAAATTACATGAGAGTTACAAAACTTTGGGGGTCACGACCCCTCGACTCCCAAAAGATCCGCCACTGGTAACAGTGCAAATAAATTAGAAGAATGGTTAGGCAAGCTAATACGTTAGACATGAAACGCCACTCACTTAAAATCCTACTAGAACTAAAATGGCAACATATTAACCTACCTATTAAGGTAAAATCATCTTATTTAAAGATTAATCTATAAATATTTACATAAGATAAATCGTCTTATTTAAAAACCGATCTATGAATACCTGTGTAAGATGAATAGTTTTATTTAAATAAGATCGATCTATATGACATTCATTAAACTTTCCTATCCATGATATTAATATCATTTGAAACAAATTGTCTTACTAGAGACCAATTTATATGATAGACATTAAATGTCTTGCATTCATTAAAAATGTTGTACATACTATGGCAACATAAATCATGGTATAAACACATTCATAATTAGTAAAAGGTAATAAAATCTCTAACTCATTAAATAGACATTCATAAACAAACATAACATTTTTCCCCATCATCATGAGGCTTTATATGCATTCTATTATCATAAAAACAAGGGGCAAGCACCATAAGGTGAGCATAAGTAAGTTCACAAATATCAAATGACTTACAAAATTCCTCTATGAATAAGGAAAAGGTAAAATTGGAAGCATAATGATGTACATTGTTAAACACCCAATAAAACTCAGGATCATGAATATGGGAAAATTTATCCTTATGCATAAACTTAACTTTACTACTCGACCCCTCTAATTCCCCTTTTTTTTTCTTACTTTTACCTTTGTGTTTTCAATCCTTTCGAGCAACAACAATGACCCTCTATAAGGAAGAAGAGACACATTAGGAACCCTTAGAATTGGTGAAAGTAACATCAATAAAATGCACCTCACAAGAGGTGAGACGACACTCATGACCAGAAGAGCTCAGCAAGAAAAAATAAGACATTGTTTAAATGAGAAAATAAAGTAGAAATAACTCAATACCTAAAGAAGAAAGCATAGTGGACGAAAGTAACTTTACGATTGTATCAATATATCCTCGAGATGAAATGGGTCAAAGTGACGAAAGAATAATTTAAATATCAATCGAGGTATGGAGAGACGTTTGATATTCCTGAAAATTGTCAGAAAAATAATAGTTACAAGATTTTCCTAACTGTCACGAGGCCAAAAGATAAAGTTTTGAGCTTTAGTATCTTATCTTCGAGTTTAGGAGACTTGTGTATATATTAACCCCGAAAATTGGGAGATAACATAAATATCCAACTAACTCTAATCTTCTGAGATATCCAAAATATCTGAGTAAGTATCCAAGATACCCAGTTAAGTATCTCAAACCACCTTAGATATCCTAAATATTCGATAAAGAGTGAAAATATCCCTTAAATCTGAAATAGTTATGGTCACTATAACCCCATAAAAAGTTATGTATTCTTCTCCTTATCATTTATATATTGACATATCACTTTCCCACATACTGACTTAAGCTAAATCAAAATAATAACCTAATATATTTTTATCTTCTTCTCTTAAAAGACAATAAAACCTCTTAATATATCATTTAAATAAAATATAATAAAGTAATATTCTCAATATTTCTCTTTACTTTAATATTTATTTTTTTGAATTTGATATCTTGTCATTTTCTTTCTTATCCGTGATCATTACTTCATTCAATCTTGTTATTGCACTATCATGTTGTTCATTTGCAATCACTTGCAAACAAACATTTTTCTTAGGATAATATTTTTTCTTAGAGAGATTCTATTTTACATTGACAATCTTTCATTTAAGACCTAACATATTGAAATTTGTTTTTTTGATCTCCCATTGATCCTTTTTCCACAAAATGTAATGTAAAGAAGATATTTTCTTCTCAAAACACACATTTTGCTCGTTTTTCTTTATTTTATTGTCTTTCAATACACACAATTTCATGATAGGTTTAAGTCTCTTCAACTTTTACATTTTTTTCATCTCAACCTTAAACTTCTCAATTTCACAACTATGTTTTTTAAAGTTCTTTCTCTTTTTATTTGAAAATTTCATCCTTAACCTTTAAGATCTCTTCAACTTAATGAATATATTCTTTAATAAAATTACAAAAACACTAAATCTTCGAGATTCAGTAATCTATGACTATTCTTATAAATAATTTACACATGCATTTTTTTTCATATCCACGAATAACAAAATAAAAAAGTTCAATTTAAAAAAATGATATAAATAAAATTAAAATATTTTTTTACGAATGTGACTTAAATTAACTTAAGTTACAATGTAAGATTATGATTTATAAAATAATAATTATATTTTTAAGGTAAAATAATATTATTTTATTAATATATATTTTTTAGAATTATATATCAAATTATTATATTTAATATTAAATTAAAATTAATTTAATTAATATATTTTAAATTTTAAAAAAATATTATTTAAAAGTTCATTTAATTTAAAAAATTAAAATAGATAAAAATATCCATTAACAACGTTAGTCCAACCTAAGGTTAGAACAACCCATTTAATAATTCTATCCATAAATAACGTTACTCATCAGCAAAATAACTCTATAATATAACTATGAACTTCTCCTATTGTTCTCATCCTAAACAAATAATGTTAGGATACTATCCATCAAAAGAGAATGACATGATAAAGTTCTTGTCCTTAAATGCTCTAACCAAACACAAAGTGTGTGGAGTAATTTTTAACACAATTCTTTTTATAATTGTTTTTTTGTTAAGGTTGAAGATGACCGTATTATCTTAATGGATTAAAAATATTTTTAAAGTTTCTAAGTTTGTATAATATATTGAAAATAAGTTTTAATTAATTGGTTTTATTTAAATTTTAATCCAAAAAATAGTTATGTTTTAATCCACTAAAATGTAATTTATTAGACTAAATCAATTTTATTAAGATAAAATTTGATATATGATAAATAAGAATAATAAGATAAAAAAATATGACATAATAAAATCTAATAAATATAAATTATAAATAAAATAATATTAGTTACTACTAAGATTTATGTAAAATATTTAGAAAAAGATAAAGAATAAAAAAAATTAACTTTGTATTCATCAAATTGGTTGAAAAGATTGAAAAAAAAACAAATTGATGGGAGAGATTAAGGAAATGTGAAAAACTGAAAGGTAAGATAAAAAATAATGTAATAAATTAATTGATATAAAAAATTAAAAAAGATAAAAAAAATTAAAAAGTGGGTAGAAGAAAAAAAATTGGTAAAATATAAAAGAATGACCTTATATGTAATAGAAAAAGAAAAATAAATATTTTTAAAATATTAATATTTTAAAATTTAAATTTAAATATAAAGTCGGGCGGGGACGAGATCGGATTCGGGGTGAGGATTGCATTACCCATCTCGCCCCGTCCCGCCCCGATTTTTAAAGCGGGAAAACCCGAACTCGCCTCGTCCCAGGTCAACTCAGATTTTTCCGTTAAACTCGGGACGGAGACGGATTAATCCCCACGAATACTGATTTAATTGTCATCCTAATCCTTAAATGCTCTAACAAAACACATGGTGTGGAGTAAATTTTAACTCTAAACTTGAACATTTGATATTCTCAATTCTTTTTATAATTGTTTTTTGTTAAGGTTGAAAATGACCGTATTATCTTAATGGATTAAAAATATTTTTAAAGTTTCTAAGTTTGTATAATATATTGAAAATAAGTTTTAATTAATTGGTTTTATTAAAATTTTAATCCAAAAAATAATTATGTTTTAATCCACTAAAATGTAATTTATTAGACTAAATCAATTAAAACATTGTTTATTTTATTGGAAACACTTAATTTTTTTAGTGAATTTAATAGATTAACAACATAATTTAATAGATAAAAATGTGTCTAAATAACACATTACTCTATTTTAATGATTAAAATATATTTTAATTTATTAAAATTATAAGTCATATGTGCAAGATACCAACCACTTCAAAAAGGTTTTGAAAAGTTTTTTTAACCACTCCTTAAGATTGTGTTACTAATGAATGACTCCAACATCTTTATATCCTGTTTTGATATTTTTTATGTGATATTGCCTTTTTTTTTATGCTTTTATTCTTAATAATGGTGGTTAAGGGGTTGATTGTGACATTGTTTTACAAGTGGTATTTGGAGTTCTTGAATAATATATATATATATATATATATATATATATATATATATATATATATATTTTTTTATTGGGGTATAATAAATTGATTTAATTGAGATTATTAGATAAGCTATCTTGCAAATATAATTCAAGGTTAAGAATCATTAATATTGACATTTCTTGATTTACTGATTCTTGTTTTATAAATATTTCGGTAAAATGTAATATTTGATATCTTTTATGCTTTAAACAAGAATTTAGTTAAAAAAATTTTGATAATTAATATTATTATCATTTGTTCAAAAAATTACACATACTATCCTCAAATTATTATTTAAATTTATAAAAAAATAATTTCTATAGGAATGTTCTCTAATCTGTCATATTTAGATTTTATAGGGAACTACCTTTATGGACATATTCCTCACGAAATTGGGAATTTGTCAGAGTTTTTGTTTTTGTGGCTTGGAGGTAATAACTTACATGGTTCTATTCCTCAAGAAATAGGTAAGTTGCAGAACCTAGAGATTCTACATATGCAGCTAAACAATTTCTCTGGCAGCATTCCTGTCGAAATTGGGAAGTTGGTCAAGCTGGAAACGTTATGGCTTTCAAACAATAATCTTTCCGGTTCAATTCCTCAAGAAATTGGAATGATGACAAATTTGCTTCAACTGGATTTGTCCAATGACTCTTTGTCAGGTACAATCCCTCCTACAATTGGAAATCTGAGCAAGTTAACCCAGTTTTACAGGTATGACAACCATCTATATGGATCAATCCCTAATGAATTGGGAAGACTCCGATTTCTTCTGACGATCCAATTGTTGGACAATAATCTCTCTGGACCAATTCCATCTTCCATAGGTAACTTGGTCAATTTGGACTCTATTCGCCTTAATGGAAACAAACTCTCTGGAACAATTCCTTCGACTATTGGTAACTTGACAAAGCTCACCACACTTGTTTTATTCTCAAATAAGCTTAGTGGATTCATTCCAATATAAATGATTTATCAGGAAGCATTCCACCAGAACTAAGTCAGGCAACCAATTTACATGTATTTCCACTGTCTTCAAATCACCTCACAGGAGTCATTCCAAAAGATTTAGGTAATTTGACCTACTTGTTCAAACTCTCTCTCAATAATAACAATCTTTCTGGGAATGTTCCTATACAAATAGCATCATTGCAAGATCTTGACACCTTAGAGCTTGGAGCAAATAGTTTTTCCGGATTGATTCCAAATCAACTTGCCAATTTAGTTAAGTTATTACATTTGAATTTGAGCAAAAATAAAATTTAGAGAAAATATTCCATCTGAGTTTGGTAAATTAAAATATCTTCAAAGTCTTGATCTTAGCATGAATATTTTGAGTGAAAAAAATACCACCAATGCTAGGAGAGTTGAAAAGCTTAGAAACATTAAATCTCTCACGCAATCATCTTTTAGGTGATCTCTCCTGCCTTGATCAGATGGTAAGCTTGACATCTATTGATATATCATACAATCAGTTAGAGGGTTCACTTACAAACATTCCAGCCTTCAATATTGCTACAATTGAAGCATTGAGAAATAATAAAGGCTTGTGTTGCAATCTCTCTGGCTTGGAACCATGCATAACCTCACAAGACAGATATCAAAATCATAAGACTACGAAAGTCATATTGGTATTTTTGCCTATTGGTTTTGGGTACTTCAATGCTAGGATTATCTGTGTGTGGAGTCTCATATTATCTTTGTTGAGGCTCAAAGACAAAAGAAAATCGGGATGATGAATCACCAAGCCAAAATCTTTTTGCAATATGGAGTTTAGATGAAAAGATATGTTAGAAAATTTAAGTGAGATTCTAAGTCCCACATTTTATAAGAATGAGATAGTTAAGTAACACGTAAAGAAGTATGACACATAACTCAATACCTTAAGCTTTTGTGTTGAGAGTGGTTCCGATTCTTATGTGGGTTGGACTTATATCTCATTAGTATGTTTCTTCCCAGTTAATCTCTCTCAAAAGACTCAAGAATTGAAGCCACAGAAGAGTTTGACAATAAACATCTAATTGGAGTTGGAGGACAAGGAAGTGTTTACAAAGCAAAATTGAAAACAAATCAAATTGTTGTTGTGAAGAAACTCCACCCAGGACAAAGTGGACAAATATTTAAGGTTAAAGCTTTCGTAAGTGAAATTCAAGCTTTGCAAATATTCGACATCGTAACATTGTGAAGTTATATGAATTTTGTTCTCATTCCTGGTTCTCATTTTTGGTATATGAGTTCTTGGAAAAGGGAAGCATAGATAAGATTTTGAAAGATGATGAACAGACAGTTGCATTTTATTGGAATTGGAGGATTTATGCCATTAAAGATGTAGCAAATGCTTTATGCTATATGCATCATGATTGTTCACCCCCAATTGTTCATCGAGATATATCAAGCAAAAATGTTCTTTTGGATTTGGAGTATGTGGCTCGTGTCTCGGATTTCGGAACGGCCAAGCTTCTTAATCCTAATTCAACCAATTGAACTTCGTTTGTAGGCACTTTTGGATATGCTGCTCCAGGTTCATTCCTATTTTTTCTATTTTATAATGAGGATATAATGATTTTGTAGGTTTTCTTGGATAATCTTTTACTAGAAAATACAAATATCAACGTCTCATGTTTAATTCAGGAATGTTTTTTAATACATGATATTTCTTTGAATTTGATACAGAACTGGCATTCACAATGGAAGTAAATGAAAAATGCGATGTATATAGTTTTGGGGTATTAGCTCTGGAAATACCTTTTGGAGAGCACCCTCCAGATTTTATAACCTCATTGATGGCATCTTCATCGACTGTGATAGACAAATCAAAACTTGATATTCCTTCATTGATGGGTAAGTTAGACCAACGTCTCCCTTATCCTGCAAATTCTGTTGTTAAGGATATAGTTTTGGTAGTAAGAATAGAAAATACTTGCTTAACTGAAATTCCTCGATGGCGCCCTACCATGGAACAAGTTACCAAGGAGCTTGCAATGTTGTTGAAGACATCTTCAATCTATTAATTCCACACGTTCATGTATATATATTGTTCAAAATACCTAAAGTACCACATTGTATTTCTTTTCGCTTACTTTATATTGTAAGCCATTTAATTTTGTTATATTTCAACTTCAGATTCGTAGCATATCATAGGTTAAATATCAACTAATTATCATTTAAATGGAAGTGACCATTTACATTTTTTTTGTGACCATGATTCGAAGTATTATGCTATGAATATTCATATATGAATAAAATCAACTACTAGTAGAATTCAGATAGAGAACTACATTCTTTAGATGCTTTTCTAGAATAACAGAGCAGCTTCACACCTTCAAGGCTTCAACACAACAGTAAGTCAATGGCATGTAACTAGGATCAAAAGGGGTGATTTAGGTAAATAAGCTTCAATATATGACTAACACAAACTATACTCTTAAGGAAGTGTTGCGCTCCAATGTTTAATGTGATGAAGTGACAAAGTTTGAGTACTACCCTGCAAATCAACTTCCTTATCATCAATAGAAAGCTAAGTTGGCTATATTCCTTTCCCTTACCTTGAAGTACCAGTAAGTGCTAATTCAAGAAAAATCACAACTTGAATGTTGGTCTTTGAAAAGTCGATGAAAAGATTGTCATTTTGGTCAAGAAAAGTTGTATCCTTTGGGGGTCATTCTGTTTTCCTTAAAGTGAGGTTATAATGGAACACAATGTGGACAGAAACAATGTCTCTGAAGACCCCCTTTTCAAGTCTTTTTAGAATCGGTTAGTACCATAAAAAAGTTAATACATTCTCTTGGATGGCCTAAACATAGTTCCGTCTATGGAAAACTCGGGCAAAGTGGGATTCTGCATGCTACGAATATGATGTGACTGATATGGATTGAAAGAGAGAATACACAACACCATCTTTGAATATACTAGGAATGCACAATTATTTGGGCAAAGAATCTACAATGGATAGGAGCCTCTACTGCATAGTCCACCAATAGCTGGGACCATTTTCTTCAGTTCACAGGCATTTGTTAATTCCAACTTGGAAGAACAAAAGGTTTGGCAAATATAGAGACGGACTTTTGTATGGTCTGCATGTTGGTTAGAAAACATGTTCTCTTTAACTCAAGATCTTTGGATATGAAGGAAAAATCAGATTTAATGAAACTTAGGTCATGGCTCATACATGGTTTAGGTACTGTCTCAAATTGTTATCATCATCTTGCAACTTGAATCTGCTTTGGTTACCATATCTCAAGAAAAGGCTGGTCATAGATTTATATAAGCTGGTGTTTGTTTGGGTGTGGGATCATATTTTGATGCAAAGCTTTGGAACGTGATTCTGAAATTCGTACACATATAGTGTAAGAGCTTACTGCCATAGTAATCAATATATTTATTTGCTAATGGAATAAAAATAAAAATAAAAAATGGCAGCCCCCATGTATTGAAAATGCCATAATAGTCAAACATAGAGCTAATCTTCCTTCATGCATTGAACTAAAAGGACTCATTTGCTAATAGATATAGAGGGCATCAAAAAGTTTGATAGATACCATTGTATTCATGTAGAGAAAGTCTTAGTTGTTACTTGCTACATACTGCCTCTCGTGGAGTTAAGTTGACCAGTTATTAAAAGATTTATCAAATATCTATTAAGATTTTCCTTAAATTACGTTTAGGTGCAATTAAATTAATTGAAGTATACTTCAACTTTTGTTTCACTAAGATTCCAGGTAGACACAAGTATGTATCCTCAAGGCAAACACGATTCACAAAACAGACATGAAATTTTATTTTACAATATGCATACCATAGTTTATTTTAGTCTTTTTGCATGAGCCTTTTGATAGTTTATTGGTTTAACTAAATTATTGATAACTATTAGTCAGGTTATAAAAAATGTTCACTTATTTACATGTACATCAATTTTGTTGTAGATATTGGTGTTTATTATCTTTGTTCCAACTATAATTTGATTAACTAGTTTCCTTTCAAATGAAATCGTCAAGTTTTTGTTTGAAAAGATAAAAAATGATGCATTATCCAAATATATGGTCTTGAATGGAAATAACTTCATGCTTTTTCTGTTTCTTCGTTTGTTCTCTCAATCTCAGAAACATTTTGATGATTGAGAGATACATTACTCAAAACGATAGATAATAATTATTTAATACCATTGATAAAACATATTTTACAGTGTACTTACACGCGAGCAAATTTAACCCACAGTCTTTGATATGTGTTTAGAAGATAAATTATAGTAAGTAGAAATAAAATAAAGCAGATCAGCCACATTTTCCATAAGTTTGATTACATCTCCAACAACATATGTTTTGAACTGTAAAAATAATAAGATAGGTAGAGAATTCATAGTGACAGAAATATATTAGTACCCAGTTTTACCGGATACTACTTTAAAGGCTTGGCTTCCATTTTGCATCACTTTGATGTAAAAGGAATGGCCCTGAGCACTATCTGATGGTATAAAGCTGCAAGTGCTGCCCCAATAAAAGGACCAACCCAGAAGATCCACTGCACGAAAATAAAATCAGTTGCATGAGTTCACTAAAATCGTTTGACTTATTTGCTATACAATAGATAAAATAATTAACTTAATGAAATAAACAAAAGAAGAAAAATTCTAAACAAATTTAAGGCTGAATTTATCTCACGTGGTTATCCCAAGCTTGGTCCTCGTTGTATACAAGTGCTGTACCTAAACTTCTAGCAGGGTTGATCCCAGTTCCTGTGATAGGAATGGTAGCCATGTGCACCAGAAACACAGCACAACCGATCGGCAAAGGTGCCAAAATCTAACACATTCATATGTGAATGATTAGATTATCATAGAACATAATGATCAATACATTACGAAATTGATATAATTGAATAGAACAGATGCATTTTAGGAAAGTGTTTGCTCACAGGAACATGCGAGTCTCTAGCATTTCGCTTGGCATCTGTGGCAGAGAAAACAGTGTAAACTAGAATGAATGTGCCAACAATTTCTGCTCCAAGGCCATCCCCTTTGGAGTATCCTTTACTGAGAATGTTGGCACCACCACCAAGCCTCTCATATTGGTTTGATTGGAATCCCTTGACCACAGCAGCACCACATATAGCTCCCAAGCACTGCATGATCATGTAGAACACTGTCCTAGTGAGAGATAACTTGCGTGCCAAGAACAACCCAAATGTCACAGCTGGGTTAATGTGACCCCCTGCATTCACAAAAGTCACAAGAAAATTAGAGAGTTAGTGTAGTTCACAAGCATACCAATTTACTGAAAACCAAGGCCACATACTCATAGAAGTAATAAGTACTAAGCTTGCTTTCATTTCTAAATATTTTTTGTTTAATTAACACTCAACTATGAAACAGATATTCTAATTCTCTACTGTTTTGCATGATATATTAAGATAAAATTTTGTTGATAAAACAAATTTGTTTGTCATGGATTCATATCACCTGTTCTGTTTCCAAATTTTGATCCCACTTTTGTTTCACTAACAAAAATTTGGCACATTGTTTACAATATCCATACAAATGGATATTTTAAATGAAAAGTAACTTTTTTTATTGGTAGAACAAGAACGGAAATAATTAAGGGAGAAGTGATTTAGTGAGATGATCATATATACAAAATTTAAACATCTATTTTCTTTGGTTGATGCATAACATTCTTATCTTTTTATTGTGGTGAGTAGTTATCTAAAAATTTACAAAAAAAAAAAAAAAAAAATTGACTATGTTGCATTGTCCTAACCTGAGATACCAGCAGTGCAATAGACAAGGGCAAAGATCATTCCCCCAAATGACCAAGCAATGCCCTGGACGCCAACTGTGGAGCACTTGTTGGGAGATTTTGCCACACCCATCACAGTCAAAACAGTGACATAAAGAAACAAGAATGTGGCCACAAATTCTGCTATCCCTGCTCTGTAGAAAGACCATGATGTTAACTCTCTATGCTCTAACAATGGAGCTGGGGGTGCCTCTATGTAGTCTTTCCCATCTTGTGTCTGTGCACCTGTTCCTATTGGTTGCCTCTCTGCATACCTGTCTGCTCCTACTCTCACATCCTCATCTCCCTCCTCCATTTTCAATGCAAGTTTAACTACACTTTGGCTTTGTTGTAAGCTTAGGCTTGTGTTTGGTGAATAACCACTATCCAGTGAATGCTTAATATATAGTCACAAGGGTTATATGAAGCTATTAGGAATGGTGTTTGTGGTTGGTGACATGTCTTGATCGTTTCTTTTCTTGAGAGTATCACTTTGCTTCTTTTCCATTCCTTTTACTCTTCACTTTCAAAGCAAGTTCTCAAAACTTGCCAAAGAAATTATCATTACAGCAAATAGAGAGAACCACTGGCAGATTGCAATGTGCTTGTCAATTATAGTCTCTGGTACCATACTAGTTCCTCCACGCGTATGCTGTTATATATATATGGTTGGTTTAAGAAACTAATATCCATCACAGTGAAGGGTAGAATTAACTAGATTAAGCATTATTGGAGAGGAGTTTTAGCACTTACAAGGCTGCATACATGTTGATCATCTAATTATAAACCATCTTTTACTACGAGGTTGGTATTAATACCTTTCTTATCCATAATTGATTTCAGAACATAAAATTTGTTTTGCTAGCTTCCATTTTAATGATTTTACTTTTATTAAAAAAAAAATGGCTTCCTAGGGTATTCGTTTGAAAAAATAAATAAATAAATTAATGTCGATTTTTTATACCGTGTTCACAAAATTTTTATTTTAAATAAAATTATTTAACATTTTTTTAAAATATACATATCAATAATTTTTTTATCTTGAAATATAATTTAAATAAAATTCTATCGTAAAATTTTAATATAAATAAAATATTAATTTAAATAATATTTTTTTTTCAGAAACAATTTTAATTTTATAACTTTAGATAAAATATAATATAGTAAATAAATTTTTAGTTATTAATGTTTTTCTATCAATAATTTGATTCTACAACAATTAAATAAAAATTATTAATAAATAATTAACATTATGAATATTATAAAAAAATATCCACATATATATCATAATGCTTCTACCCAAGTTAATAAGTATATGATTAAAATATTCATATTTGTAATCTACGAATATTCCTTTAAAATGTATTGTATTCATGACTAATTTTATTGGTAGATATTCTTATGTATGAATTTATTTTTTTTATATTTTTGAGATGTGTTAATTTACTTTTTAAGATTTAGGTATTGATTTATGTTAATATATTTTCTCATAAAATAAATTATTTCATTTAAGAATTTGATCATAAAGATTATCTATCATTATCTGGCATGATTTACGAGTAAGATGGATTAAAAAAACTGACAAAAAGGCGTGATGGTTAAACCATAAAAAAAATAACAAATTATCTAAAGATAATCGAACAACTCATAATTAAATTCTATCATCATTTTATTATAAATGAAGCAAATAAAAACGAATTAAAATAAAAGAACAACCAAAAAATATATATAATGTTTTATAGGTGAAACCAAGATAAAGAAAGAGTGAAAGATATGTTTCAGAACTCCAATTCTTGTACCTTTATTACAGTTGAGTTATCTCCAGATCTAAAGAGTCCAAAACATATTCATGGAATTAATGAATGAAAAGTTAGAAGTACACAAAGTTTAACCTGTGATGAGTCATTCTAAGAGTGTGAGGTTTTGAAATCATTTTCACTCAGATTCTGATCGCCAACCCCAAACTTGGTACGAAGAAAATTTACTTTTTGGCCTCTGCTCCAAATTCCAGTAGTTTTGGATTATCTTTGGAACGAAAGAGTAACAACAGTTTCGTGAAACCTGGATCCCCAATCAATGAGTGATAGGATTTGTTGAGACACATGAATCGGACAAGACATTTAATGGGAAGCCATGAAAAAATTTCGATCATCAGATCCTCGCTCAAAAATGATGTTGCCATCTTGCTTCTTCTTCTGCCTCTTATTCTCAATGCTCACATTTCATACTTCATATAAACCTCACGTCATTCTGTTACCGTCAACCAAAAACTAACAAATTAACTATTTTTAACAAAACATTTTTAAAAATAATAAACAAATAAATTCTTAATATGACATGGATCCCTATTCATTCGAATGGTTTCACTTGAAAAAGTCCAAAATCCAATTTTTACATATTTAGGGAAATAAGCACGTATTTGGTTTTGACTCAATCTCAACATTAGCACGTATTTTTGGCGTCCAATATCTTCATAATTATTATTACTTTTTAATCACAAATTTCGTAATATTTATATATTAAACTTATCACTTATTTCATTTATCTGAGTCCTTTCTGATTCGACACTATCCATAGTTTACAATGGAAAATTGCATTTGAAGCCCAAACCAATGTTTGCTAAATCCAGGCTTAGGTTTGTTCCTTTTCTGGCCCAACGCAACATGGCCCAACACTTTTTCCCCATATTGGGCCTATACTTTACCAATAACATTTTATTTTATTCTAATGCTGAAAATAGTTGTACTATTTTCAGTATTCGGCTTTCATCTGCATTTTACAAAGTTTACATATTGCATGGTCATTATTTGAGATTCATTGCATATAAATTTCCACTGTTGAAACCCATGATTGAGATTAATTGAATAGAAGGTTTCTTTCTGATTTTTTCAGGCGAATAGATTGAAATTATTTTTTTTAATTTATATTTAAAGTCGTAAATTGTTAAGAGTTGTTAGGGGAAAAAGTGAGTTGAGCTGTCACTGATTTGAAATAAAATAGTCTCTAAATTTAATACATTTTTAATTATTACTAATATAACAAAAAAAAAAACTACTTTGAAATAAATACCCCTTTCCCTTTATAGTTTTTTTTTCTTTCCAAATTTTAAATTATATAGCTGCTTAATAAAATAGATGTTAGTGGGTTGCAATTACTATGTCAAGTCCAAGTCTCTGAGATCTTTGTATTTTGTGGAATGTTAGCAGAATATTCTTCCGAGATGATCTAAATATATATGACAAAAGAACAAGACATGCTTGAAAAAAATATAAAAAAGGACAAAAGATCATACCAACTTATTTCATAATTAAAGTTATTATTTTTTCGTTAATTTCTTCAAGCCCTCGTGTTTTCTGATGTGGTATATGACCTTTTTTCTGTTGAGGATTATAAAATTTAAGGACAATGAGAAAAAAAAAATGCATAGAAGATGCAAATCCTTCGAATCCAATAAAGTGCAGTGTTGACTTTAATATTTTGGAATCTCTTTAATTTGATGCAACGAAATTGGTTTTGGTTGCGGCTACTTGTCTGGTTGTTGATGTCTGCCACGATATCTGCAATCCACTCGTGCAATGGAAAGAGGAGAGGAGGCAAACCATGGTGGGAAGACATTGAGAGCGAAATTGGAAGAAGAAGGGAACAATCTCACTTCACCATTCACACAACTTCCAATCATCTTTCACAAAACCCTAAACTTTTCACAAAAGAGAAACATTGTGTAAATATTTGCAATCTTTAAATCCGGGAATTGATTTGATTTGAAACTCGTTAAAATTCATATTTGAGTAGACTTTAAAATCAAACAACGATCGTTAAAAATGAAACTAATATATGGGTATTCTTTTAAACCCTTTCCAAACATGAGAACCGTCAAAGTAGGATTTGTCTGCAATAAAGCCTTTCTCGTGAAGACAAACTTTAGTTGATTTGATATGATTTATACAAAATAATCAAACAAACTTATGATTTTAAAAAACTAAATCCGTTCCTAAATCTAACATTTTAAACACAGTTGTGATTATAAATCAAATCAAATGTTTAATGAAGACATGAAAAATCTATTTTTTTGACATTCCAGACACAAATGTTTTCTTTTTCTTTTCTCTGTCACTGTTTTCTACTCATGATCTATGCTTTATTGTCAAGTTGGATGGGCATCAGCTTTTAATTAAGTATCTTTGGAAAATGAAGGCAGCTTTGGCACTATTTTATAATGATTTCCCTTTTGTCCTTTTCTCTCATCTTGCTCCTGGTTTAGGGTTTGTGTATGAGACAAGAGAGTGCATGATTACCCACCAAAGGTTGACTGCAGGTGTGGAAAATTCACCAACCTTCCATTAGATGATGCTTTCATGTTGCCAAACACTTTGATTGCAACATTACATTGGTGTGCAATATATATGGGAGTTAGGAAAATGCAATGAGTTAATAGCTATTGCCACTAAGGTAGGTAGCATCTTTGGACACACCATCAGATAGTTCCCAGTCACACAAGCATAAAAGCAAACAACAACAACAACAAAAGTTTGAGATGATCAAATGAGTTTAAAGCCTGCTACCAAACGAGGTAAAATAAAAAGAACATATGAAATCATAGCCAAAGCGCATGGAAAAAGTAAAGCTAAGGTTAAACTGTTAAAGAGGAAATGAACATAGTGCTTTCAATTCTATATACTAACATGCACATAATTTTGTCTAACTTTAAGAAGCTCCAATGAATCAAAACTCAAACTAAGTTCAGTTGTGCAATATTGGGCTGATACGTCATAATGATGTGATCACTCATCAAATGTATATACAATCGAATATATGTATATTCTATTGCTTGTTGTATAGAAGCTGAACTTTCAAATATTTCAACAAAGTCTCAATTTTCTGTTGAAATAACAAGTCGATGACATCTCTTTCGATTGAATAGTCAACATGGAATTATAGTTAACAGTGTCTAATTCTTCACTTCAAGAACTTTGAGATATATGAGTTTATTTTTACTTTAAAAAGACTTTTGTAGAAAAATAAAATAAAATAAAATAAACGCCTTATAAATTAAATTAATTTATACAAATTCTTTTATATATATTTTTTTAATTTTATTTTCTAACTTATGAAAAAGTCAATATTTTTTCTTACTCTAATAGTTATCTAAACATATCCCAGATTAAACAGAAGTTGTTCTACCACTAGAGTAGCAACATGTTTTTCTAAGCAGGCAAAGAGAGAAGTTGTGAAAAACTTGTCTAACAACAATTGATTAAATTAGTGATCATGAGCTTCTCCTCATGCAAGAGAAGGTCATACCAAGATCCAATTCTTTAAAAAAACACCCTCTAAATAAAGGGCACGTGGGAGGGTGAAGCAGTGTGAGGCTGGAACAAGATAGAGTGGATGAGGACATTGAGGTGAGGGTGGAGCCAGGCGAAGAAGAAGAAGAGTGTAGTTTTGTTGAGAAGCTGGTTTTTTGTCTTTGGAATGGGTCATCTTCAATGTCAATTTTCGATCCATCCAAATAATTTTTCTTAGGAACTCTCAAGTTCTTTCTTCTATGAGCTTCTACTTGCACAAGTTGGTCCCTCAGTTTCTATATATAGATGTTTCACAAAGTCAAATTCACAACTGTTAACATGAACTTCTGTATAGCATATATAAAACTCTATCAGAATCAAACACTTATATGTTGTATGGCAATAACAATATGAATCAACAACAACGACAAATTAACAGATAGAGTGTATCTGGATTCATACACTCGAAAATAAACTAAGAACAATATCAGAAGAAAATAATAGTTATAGGTGCTTGTCAAAACCATAATGATAAATCCATAAAACAGTTGTTAATCACATCCAATTGTCATTGAAGTTAATAAATAACATTTACTTTTAAAATAAAATATAATCAAATCGATACAACTGAAATGCTTAGAAAAAATTCTTGAGATTGTAATAATTTATTCGTGTGTAATATTTAAAATGACAACAAGATATAAAAGAAGAAAAGTATCTTACAAAATTATAAATAATGCTAAAATATTTTATCTAAAGAGAAGGAATACACTTATCATCGCAATGAAAAATATTTAAAAAATATATGAAAAAGAAATAACAAGAAATGTTATACTTTTAATGATTATATTTCTAATATGATCATTTTTAAGAAAAGAAATGATAAACTAATAAAAAATTAATATTCTTTTTTACTTTTATAACTACATAACTCTATTAATTTAAAACTAGAAAATATGTCCCCTTTTATTTTTCATCAAAACCAACTCCCAAACATACCTTTAATAATTGATTCAATTTTAAACCTTTCTTTAAAATCTATATGTAGATGGCAATGGATCCTATGTGAAGGTTGGGGATGGAGGGTCGTCACATCTAAGCTTAGAGGACGAACTAGGTCGTTTTGAGTCAAGTAGTACTGTTAGTCTATTAGCAAGAACTTCTTCCTTCTCCATATTTCTGAGCAGAAACATTTCTTCCTCCTGAAACATATTAGCCATTAGATTGAAGGGAAAGAGCAAGTTATGTTCAGTTTAAGATGTTTTAAAAAAAAATTGAAAAATGATTTTATGTAAATATTTATTTGTTTATTTTTACTGTTGCCTGAGGTGTTGACGCATTATCTCAAAAATTGGCCTTATCATTCATATCAAAAGTGGCACCCACCTTGTATTCTCCCTCAAGTAAAAAGGGTTCTTGTAATCTTCTCCTTCATGCGTCAAAGACTATACTTTGACAAAGGCCCCTCTGCTTTGATCATAGAAAATTCTGATTTGGCTTCTGTGCCCTCCCAATAATTACACTCTTCTTTAAGGTAATGGACCTTTAACAGCCTATATAACCAGTACAATACTAAGAAAGGAAAAAATGAAGTGCTACACTTCACATGACTCATGCGCACATAGCCCCAAAAATATTCAAAGTGATCTCATTATTTACCATGACTAATCAAAATGATGTTTAAGCAGGTTGAAGCATTGAATAGACTGATGGAAAATGAAATTTGGGCATATTGTATCCATAAAATCTTTAGAATCCTTTGGTTCTCATCGTTGGGAATTATTTCACATGTACAGCAATATGCAATAAGTACTATCTTCAGCAAACAGATAGGGGGCAGACCCCATTGAAGCTGCAAGAAAAAGTAGGATAAGGATGAGAAGCACAATTTCTTAAAGATGCTGGAATATATTAATTTCGGATCTTGTTGATGGAGCATCTTTTAACATGCTTGTGTAAGTCTTACGACAGCATTGTGTGTGATTAACCATCATGGAGACCAAAACTATTGCATTTAGATTTTTCATCCATATTCTCATTGTCTACATGAAAAAAATACGATTCACTTTGCTTAAATTCATTCATAGTAAGGTTTTAAATTGCAATTAAGGTTTTTATTTTGTGCTGCAACAGGTAAAATAACTGATGAATCACAATTATAGTCGCAATGAAACCTTAAACTTTAATGTTACGGCCAAAATTTCTAGACCATTTTTTAAAACTCTGCTGTAGTAAACTTCAATAATATATCGGTCAATAGTCAAATTTTGGTTAAGTACACAAAAGTTCATAATCAACCAAATTAACAACCGGACAACAATATGTTGATAATCTCTAGCAACATATTGGGAAGAAAAGATACTTGTACCTGTGCATAGTATACCCACGGTAAGGGGGCTCCATGCATATGAAGAATGTCTTGTATAGACAAATCCACATGGCTAGCAACCTAGCCTATATCATTATCCTCCATAAATAAGCGCAGAAAGTATATATCAGTGAAACTATTCTTGCTGAGTAGCTTCAGGTGCAGGTATAGCAATTACACTGTTTAACCTCTTTTTTTATCTCATTTAACCTATGATTTTTCCAACTCTCAACAAACTCAGGAGGTCGTGATTTTCAAATTTTGTGATTGTTTCCACAAACGAATCAGATGATTAACCTCCACCAAGCTCAAGAAATCCAAACTATAACTCCATTTAAAACTTAATCAAGATTTTAATCTAGTACAAGTTGGTGACATTTCTAATAAAATTGTTAACGATGAGGTATAGTAATATATATGATTCTGCGGTGCTGCAACACTGTTGATTATAAACAAAATGGACCAATTGCTTCTTTGAGCAGATATATTCGATCTGACTCCTAACTATATGTTTGTGCACTTTGTGACCGGTTTCTGTTAACAATATGCAAGACATAATACGATTTTTTATGTTAGATCAATTACCATGTGCTCAATAAACTCCTTGGCCTCTTAGAACCTGCAAATATGCAACTAGAGAGAGAGAGAGAGAGTGATCAAAGTTCAACTCTTCACATTGTTATTAATTAAGGACATCGTTCTAATTCTATAGTTCATTTTAATATATGTTTTCTGATTAGAATTTTACTTCAATTTGTATAAAGGTATAATAGAAAACTTCAAATTTAGTTAAAGAAAATCAGAATCGCATAATGTACTTGCATACCAGTAGTGTATTCAAACTGCAAAATGAACACGTTACAAGCAGTGTTAACTATACTGAGATTTGTTTAGAATAGACATGCTAACACCAAGTTATTGGGGAAGGTGTAATATATTAAAAGTAATCGTTCTCGGTGTAT